GAAGAAATCACAACGACCTGGGTTCACATTCTGGCTCTGCCACTTTGAGCCGTGGGACCTACGGCATGTTTTTAAAATTTTTTTTTTCAACGTTTATTTATTTTTGGGACCGAGAGAGACAGAGCATGAACGGGGGAGGGGCAGAGAGAGAGAGGGAGACACAGAATCGGAAACAGGCTCCAGGCTCTGAGCCATCAGCCCAGAGCCCGACGCGGGGCTCGAACTCACGGACCGCGAGATCGTGACCTGGCTGAAGTCGGACACTCAACCGACTGCGCCACCCAGGCGCCCCCTACGGCATGTTTTTTGACCGCTCTGTGCCTCAGTTTCCCCCTGTGTGCACAGGGAAGGATCATAGAACCTGCCCTCGAAGGGTTGTAGGACAATGGGGGTCAAATTAGTAGCGTGGCACCCACCACATGGTAAGCATTCCAGAATGAGCTGCCATCGTTCGGAGTTAATGATGGGAGTAAATTAGCAATGTCCTCATGGGAGTTACTGGGAGCTTCCTGGGGCCTTTGGCCTCGGGTCCCCTGGAACTACCGGCACCTACAGCCCACACTGCTCCTCGGCATCGAGGCTCCTGCTTACGCAGGTTCTTAGAGTGCCCGGCTCTTCCTGCCCCATCCATCCCGCCATCTCGTACCTCCTCTGACCCCGTGGCTCCTGGTGGGGTATGGGGGGAGGAGAAGGGCATTTGTCTTCTCTGCCCACCTCCAGATACAAACTTTCTTTGTCCGCACGCCCCTTCTAGTTCCAGCTGCCCCTCTGGGCAGATCTCTAGTGCATGGCTGCCTCTGCCTCGGGGCCAATGACCAGCCTGTGGGTTGATGTTCATGGAGGGTGAGGTGGGGGGGTGCCACCCCCAGGCCAATCAGCAATCAGGTGGGTCTCAGGCTCAACCTGACCCCTCAGCCCTAGCATTAGCATGACCAGAATTTTTTTTTTTTTAAGTTTATTTACTTCTTTTGAGAGAGACAGAGACAGCGCAAGTCGGGGAGGGGCAGAGAGAGAGAGGGAGAGAGAGAGAGTCCCAAGCAGGCTCCACGCCGTCAGCACAGAGCCCAATGCGGGGCTCGAACCCGTGAAACCATGAGATCGTGACCTGAGCCGAAACCCAAGAGTTGGACGCTTAACCGACCGAGCCACCCAGGCGCCCCGAGCATGACCAAAATTTCTGGAGGGTTTCTCCTCTGAGAGCTCACCCTATGAGATCCCAGCCCCTCTCTCTGTACCCATACCAGCCAGATATGGCTATCATCCCATTTAACAGAAAAGGAAACCGAGGCTTGGGGTGCATGCTCCCCCAACCCTACCCTGCCTTGGGGCACCCCTTCCCCGGGTCATCTCCTTCTTACCTGAGCAGGTTAGCGACCCAGGGCTTTTGGTCAATGGTTTGCAGCTGACCTTGGTCAGGGCTCCCCAGGGTAGGTCTTATGTGACTGCCGTCCCTCGAAATAGGTGCTTCGCGGTCCATGAGCGTGAGGCGCAGAGGGGCAAACACATTATCAGGTGTTTGATTTTACTTTAGGGCGGCTTGCCAATTTTTAGTGTGTGAACGTGCCATGTGACTTTCCTGGAAGGGAGGCGCCGATGGCCCCCCGTATCTGTACGGGGAAACTGAGGCTGGCAGGGAAACAATGGACAGAGAGATTCTTGGTCGCAGTTAACTACGTGCCAGGCACCGCTCTGGGTGTTTGACGCACGATAACGCACCTGCCCTCGCAGCGGCTCATTCCTGCGTGTTGCATCCCCCCTGTTGCACAGATGAGGAAACTAAGGCGCGGTGTTTGAGTGACGGGTCTGAGGCCACTCTTCCAGTTAGTGGCAAGGACGCTGGCCTGGGCTGTGAACAGCTCCACGGTTTCACAGGAGAGCAGTGGGGAGCGGCGTGGGTCGAGGGCACTGTGTGGGCTCGCCTCCCCGCCCGTCACCACCCTTTCCCTGTGCACTTGACTCCTGGCCGCCCAGACCTGCTGGAGAAGTCGAGGGCCATCCGCCAAGCCAAGGACGAGTGCAGCTTCCACATCTTCTACCAGCTGCTGGGAGGCGCGGGAGAGCAGCTCAAGGGTCAGTGCAGGGGCTCACGGGGCGTGGGAGGGAGCCCCGGCTGGGCGTCTGGCTTCCCTGGGCCCCCGGAGGAGGAAACGGGAGGCGCTAGAATTTGCCAGGCACCTGCTTGAGGTCAGGCTCCTGCTGGGCGGTGGATACGGGTCCCCTCTACGCCGCCTCCTGCCTGAGCTCCCCGCTGTCTCCTCTTTGCTCCTCCCACGCTCTGGCTGAAGAAAGTCCGGGGCTCCCATTTACAGTGGTCCCCACTGTCCCGAGGCTCCTTCTCAGGCTGGCTCCTTCGCCCATAGCCTTGGCTGCCTCCCGGCCCCCCTCTGTCAGGCTCCAGGACCCACGTGCCTTCTGCTGCCAACCCCACTGTCCCACGGCTTCCGCTAACTCAATTGCTCCTGCAGCCCCTGCCTGCCCTGGGCAGTTACGGGACTGGACAGTCTCTCCGGAAGGAGGGAAGACGAAAGGGTCTGATGTGTGCTAAGCGTGCCCTCCACCGCGAGGGAAGGGTCCTCACTCGTTGGACAGGAGGGGACTGAGGTCCCCGGTGGGGAAGCGATGCTTGCCCCGGGGGTGGCCATTGGGAGGGGAGTCTGACTCCACAGCTCGCCCCTGACCTTAGGCCTCCACTCATGACACCCTGCAGCTGACCTCCTCCTGGAGCCTTGCTCCCACTACCGCTTCCTGACCAACGGGTCGTCGTCCCCTCCCGGCCAGGAGCGGGAACTCTTCCACGAGACTCTGGAGTCGCTGAGGGTCCTGGGATTCACCCCGGAGGAAATCACCTGTGAGTGAGCCCCAAACCCCGGCTGCAGGTGTGGCTGGGGCGCTGCATGGGCAGGCGGGGAACCTGGACAGTCAGTCCCGGGTTGGGAAAAAGAACCAGGGGTGGCGGGGGGGGGGGGGGGGGGGCGGGGCGGAGGCTGGAGGAGGGAGGAGGTGTAGCTTTAAGGAGGGGATCGGGAAGGGGACACAGCGACAGTGGCCTCTGAGCAAAGGCCCGAGGAGCTGAGAGAGTGAGGACCGGTGTTCCCAGGGTGTTAACCCCAAAAATAAAGCTGTTGGCTCAGTTGCTGACAAAATGGATTGATTTGGGAACAGCAGAGAACCGTAACTGGGGACAAGCAAGCTACGGCAAAACCACAGACCCGCCTGAGTTGCTGGGGCGGCCAATTTCTTTTTCTTTTCTTTTCTTTCTTTCTTTTTTTTTAATGTTTATTTATTTGTTTTGGGAGAGAGAGAGAGAGAGCGAATGAGCAGGGAAGGGGCAGAGAGAATCCCAAGCAGGCTCTGCGCTCTCAAGCGCAGAGCCCGATGCGGGGCTCGATCTCATGAGCCGTGAGATCATGACCTAAGGTGAAATCCAGAGTCAGACGCTCGACCGCTCGACCAGCTGAGCCACCCAGGCACCCCGAGGTACTGTATTTGTTTGCTAGGGCTGTTGTGACAAAGCACAACCCGAGCGCCTTAAACAGCGGAAGCCGCTGGTCTCCTGGTTCTTTCTGGAGGCCAGCAGTCCGAGATCGAGATGATGGCAGGGCCGCCTGGGCCTGGGAGGATCTGTTTGTTCACTGCCTCCCTCCCAGATTCTGGTGGTTTCCTGGCAGTCTTCGGTGTTCCTTGGCACATAGGAGCATCACCCGATCTCTGCCTTCATCATCACGTGGCTTCTGCCTGTGTGCACATCTGTGTGTTCAGATTCCCCCGTTTATAAAGACACCTGTCGTGTTGGATCAGGGGCCACCCTACCCCACTGCCATCTCATCTGGACTTTAATTATGTCCGCTTGAGTCAGTACCCGTATAAGGTCACATTCTGAGAGGTCCTGGGGGTTAGGACGTCAGCATATCTGTTTGTAGGGGAGCAGGCACGATTCAGCCCATGAGTGCATATAGGTGGACCTCAGTCCTTCTGCGACTGCCTGACTTTTCATTGTTCGTGTGAACTTTGAGGTCTAGGGTTGAGTGGAGGGGCCGCGTCCTTTCCTCCTCTGGCCTCCAGCACTGCGGGAGGCCCAGGGAGCTATGGTTGGCTCCAGGGCCAGCTGGGAGGGCTGGAAACCCAGCGCCAGCTTGCCTGTCTACCCAGGCTGCAAACTGGCCGGCCTCCTGGGGCGTATTGACACAGGGTCTCAGGCCTTCCCTGCTGGATTTCCCAACCTTGGTTGTGTAACTTCCTCCGCCTGCCTGAGAGTCGGCCCGGGCAGCTGGCAAACAAACTCAGATGGAAGCCACAGGGGGGCCTGGCCTCTGACACAGGTTGCCTCAAGTAACCCTGGGAGCAGCCGCCCTGCTGTGCCCTGGGTGTGGGCAATTCTTTTCCTTTATTTTTTATTTATTTTTATTATTTTTTAACTTTTAAAAAATGTACTTATTTATTTGGAGAGAGAGAGAGAGAGAGGAAGAGAGAGAGAATCCCAAGCAGCTTCCACACTATCAGTACAGAGCCTGACGTGGGGCTCGAACTCACGAACCGTGAGATCATGACCTGAGCCGAAATCGAGAGTCAGACGCTTAACTGCCTGTGCCACCGAGGTGCCCCCGATTTTTGCAATTCTGAAAAACAAAAAACTTTTGAAGTGCCGTAGGCACGTGGTGACATAATCTGAACGTGTCAAAGGTCGCGGCGAGGAAACCCACGTCTCCTGAGGTGCCCTGAACCTTAGACTCCCTCCCACTGTTCAGCTTCCTGCATCCCCTTCTAGAAATATTTTAGACATCTACGAAAAGACACATGTTACTTTTCTATAAAAGGAGGCATTTCCTAGCCCCTGGGCTGATGTTCAGCTGTACTAGGGACAAAAATGTTAAGATATTCCTCTACTGCATTTTTTAAAGTTTATATATTTATTTATTTAGAGAGAGTGGGCGGGGGGGGGGGGGCAGAGGGAGAAGGAGAGAGAAAATCCCAAGCAGGCTCCTGGTGGTCAGTGTGCAGAGCCCAATCTGGGGCTCAATCCCACGAACCGTGAGATCATGACCTGAGCCGAGTTGAAGAGTCAGGCGCTTAACTGGCTGAGCCCCCCAGCCAGTTTAAATGCCCCGCTGCTGCATTTAAAAGTTCCTCTGTAGTTGCTGCCGCAGGGGGACCGCATCTCCTTGACCTTCTGCCCAGGACCATCCCAGATACAGCAACGAACAGGTGAAAGGCACCTGGTACACTGGGGGTGGCATTGCGGTTAAGGACTCAGCTCATCTCTCCTCTGCTAATGTGCTTTGTGCCTCACTTTTCCCAGCAGACAGTATATTTTAGCAATAATTCTGGTTTTGTATGTATAGGTGGACTTCAGTTGTGTGTTGGGGAGGGGCTGCATGAGGTTTCGTTGTTTAAAATTTTTTTTTTTTTCCAACGTTTATTTATTTTTGGGACAGAGAGAGACAGAGCATGAACGGGGGATGGGCAGAGAGAGAGGGAGACACAGAATCGGAAACAGGCTCCAGGCTCTGAACCATCAGCCCAGAGCCTGACGCGGGGCTCAAACTCACGGACCGCGAGATCGTGACCTGGCTGAAGTCGGACGCTTAACCGACTGCGCCACCCAGGCGCCCCAGAGGTTTCGTTGTTTAAATGGACTAGGATTCTTTCTAAAAAAAAAATTTTTTTTAACGTTTATTTATTTTTGAGACAGAGAGAGACAGAGCATGAACAGGGGAGGGGCAGAGAGAGAGGGAGACACAGAATCGGAAGCAGGCTCCAGGCTCTGAGCTGTCAGCCCAGAGCCCGATGCGGGGCTCGAACTCACGGACCGCGAGATCGTGACCTGAGTCGAAGTCAGACGCTTAACCGACTGAGCCACCCAAGCGCCCTCCGACATTTTTATCTTTTTATTATGGGCACCGCATCCGATAATCAACCATCCACTTGTGGTTTTTTGGGTTTCCCCTCGAACCCCCCCCCTACTCCCCACCCCCACCTCCTCTCTGAGTGTTTTTTCTTTTTTCTTTTTTTTAAATTTATTTTTGAGACAGAGAGAGACAGCGCATGAGCAGGGGAGGGGCAGAGAGAGGGGGAGACACAGAATCCGAAGCAGGCTCCAGGTTCTACGTTGTCAGCACAGAGCCCGACGCGGGGCTCAAACTCACGGACCGCGAGATCGTGACCTGAGTCGAAGTCGGACGCTTAACCGACTGAGCCACCAAGGCGCCCCGAGTGTTTTTTCAATTGTGGAGAATCCACTTCATCGCCGCCCAGAAGGTGGCGCTAGTTTCCATCTCCACCCACAGTGTCCCCAGAGTGCTGTGTCCCTGGGTGCGTGCCAGCAACCGCCGTCGTAAGCTTTTGGGCTTTCGCTGGTGTGGCAGTCGGATGGGGTCTCATTGTCGTTTTCTTTAGCGTTTTATTGACAAGGAGTGGAGTCAGCCAGTCACCTTTTCGTAGACTCCTTCTGACAGAAGAGGTGACTGAGGTCCAGGGAGGTGGGGTGTCTTCCCTGGGACTCATCCCAGTGGATGAGGAGGTGGTGGGACCTGGGTCGGACCCCACAGCCAGCCCGCGATCTGGTTTTAGGGAGGCGGGTGGGCACCTCTGGGAAGCTTTCCGGACCATCTCTGGGAAGGTGGTCGCCAGTGGGAAGCCCGGGGCGGAGAGCACTGGGGACCAGTCCAGGCAGGCACCATGAATGACACTTCCAGTGGTTGAGCAGAGAACCTGGCACTTGGGTCCTGGCTCCTGTGAGCAGGACTGGGCGTCACCGGCCCCACGCCCCTGCCCCCGCCGGCCTGGGCTTCCTTGCCATCGGCTGGTCCGAGGTTACCAGCAAGAGCTAACTGCCAACTTCTCAGGTGTCAGATTCACCCGGGCGCTTGGCCCCGGTGCAAGTTCCTAAGTCAACTGTCAGAGGCCATTTTAAAGGCCACTGGGGGGGGACTTAAGTCCGGGCTGAGTCCGGGCTGATGTTAAGGAATGAATGATCATTCAGTTTTTAGGTGATGATGCTATTGTGGGTCCATAAGGGAGATGTCCTGGTTTATTTATCTTCTGGGAGGTGTGCCGCTGTCCCCAGGGGAGTCTCCCAGAACTGCCAGGGCTCTGGGCTGTCCCCCGACTGCCCAGTGCCCCCGGACCCCAGGCGGGCAGAACCAGAGATCTCTGAACCCAGCTCCTCTCACTGCCCAGCTTGGGAAACTGAGGCCCACGAGGTCACCCAGCTTGTCCAAGGCCACACTGCAAACTCCCACATCCAGTAATGTATCCCCTACTAGTTAACTTTTTGCCATTTATTCATTAATAGAGTGAGTCATCCAGCCGCGAAGGGGTTTGTGGGCCAGTCGTCTGTAGGCACTGACAGTGGCCAAGACAGAATGAGCCCCTGACCCATGGAATGCTCAGACCTAGAAGCGCCCGTTTACACAAACGGATTAGAGTTGAGCCCGTGGAGGGGGGATGGGTGACCAATAGAAGGTGCATGGAGCAGGGACCACATGTCACAGGGTTCCATCACGGTCGGGGGAGGGTCAGGGCAGCCTCTGGAGGAGACGGCCCTCGGCTGAGCACTGATGACCTGGCAGGAGTTAACCAGGCATAGATGGGAGCGTCTGAGGCAAAGCCCTGGCGGCAAGGAAGAGTGTTGGAGGAACCGAAAGGGGGCTGGGTGGCTGCTTGGAATAAGCGAGGGGACCCTGGGGCCGGAGGAGCTGTGAGGGTCAGGGACAGGGTGCCAAAAACCCTGATAAGAGGTTAGATTGAATCCCAGAAGTAGTGTGGACCACGGAAGGAATTCCTGGAAACAGGCAAGCTCAAGTTCATCCGTGAAAGCATTTATAGAGTACTAACTGTATGCAGAGCGCATGCTCAGGAGATGAGGAAGGAACAGGTACTTTCCATAGGGATTATGATCTCAGTGGGGACGGAGAAAAATCAGTATTTGTTGGACACCCTGTTGTGCCCTGCAAACTATACCAAAACCTGTTTTTTTAACTTATTTTTATTCTTAATGGATGTTACATTAGTTTCAGATACACAGCGTATGGATTTGACAGTTCTTTCATTAGTCAGTGTTCACCGCAAGTGTAGTCAACGTCTGCCTTTGGTTTTCTTTGAGAGAGAATTCACATAACCGTGAAATTCATCATTGTGAAATGCACAATTCAGCAGTTTCTAGTGCAGGTAGATTCCTGTGCCGCAAGGTGTTTAATTCCCAACACCAAATCCTTTTCTTAAATGTTTATTCATTTATTTTGAGAGAGAGAGAGAGAGAGGGAGAGAGAGAGAATCCCAAGCAGAGTCCACACTCTTCAGGCAGAGCCTGAAGTCAGGGCTCGAACTCGCCAACCGTGAAATCATGACCTGAGCCGAAATCAAGAGCCCAAGGCTTAACCGACTGAACCACCCAGGTGCCCAACATACAGCTTTTATAGTAGTAACTCTCTGGAGGTGCCTAGTTGGCTCAGTTGGCTGGGCGTCCGACTTCAGCTCAGGTCATGATCTCACAGTCTCTGAGTTCGAGCCCCACGTCGTGCTCTGGGCTGACAGCTCAGAGCCTGGCTCCTGCTTCGGATTCTGTGTCTCCCTCTCTCTGCCCCTCCCCCACTCACCCCCCCCCCCCAAAAGCAAATCGATGTTAACAACAACAACAAATTTTATAGTAGTAACTCTCTGTAGACTCTCCTGTCTTAAACAGCCAGGGTTCCGAGGAGATCAAAGCCTGCCATTTGGACACTCTCGGTTACAAAGGAGACGCCCCGGCTTGGCCACCCCTGAGCCCCTGACCTGGAACACTGAACAACATGTTCTACATATTCTGCTTGATGGGCTTAGAGATGGCTCTCTATAGTCTCAAGACAGGGGCTAACCCGGGCGTGCAGGGTATGCTTGTACTAACCAGCCTTCCAGCACGTGCCTTACAACGTGGTACCTCTGACCCCCTGTATTAGCTTCCCATGACCAGTCACCAGTGACCACAAACAGTGGCTTAAATCAACACACCCTTATTCTCTTACAATGCCTGAGGCCGGAAGTCCAAAGCCAGTCTCATGGGACTAAAATCGAGCTCTGGGCAGGGCTGGTTCCTTCTGAAGGCTCACCAGGAACATCCGTTTTCTTGTCTTTCCCGGGTTCAAAACACATCACTCTAACCTTTGCTCATGTGGTCTTCTCCCTCTGCCTCCCTCTTTTTTTTTTTTTTCCCTCTGCCCCCCCTTTTTTTTTTTTTATTTATTTTGAGGGGAGGATGGGCAGAGGAGAGAGGGAGACAGAATCCCAAGCAGGCTCCTCCCAGCTCAAAGCCCAATGTGGGGCTTGAACCCACGAACTCATGAAATCATGACCTGGGTCAAAATCAAGAGGCAGACGCTTAACCAACTGAGCCACCCAGGCGCCTCCCTCTAACAAGGATCTACAGTGAGAGTCTACCTGGGCAATCCAGAATAAATCTCTATCTTGACTTTTTTTTTAAATTTTTATTTATTTATTTTGAGAAAGAGAGCACGAGTGAACAAGGGAGGGCCAGAGAGAGGAGAGAGAGAGAATCCCAAGCAGGCTTCACGATGTCAGCAAAGAGCCCGACGCGGGGCTTGAACTCACAAACTGTGAGATCATGACCTGAGCCGAAATCAAAAGCAGGACAATTGACTGACTGAGCCACTCAGACGTGTCCCCGTTTTGACATTTTTTTATTTAATCACACCAGTGAAGGCCATTGTGCTCTACAAGGTAATATTCACAGATGCCAGGAATTCGGATGTGGCTCCTGGGTGGCTCAGTCGGTTAAGCATCTGACTCTTGATTTTGGCTCAGATCATGATCTCACGGTTTGGGGTGTTCGAGCCCCTTTTTGAGCTCTGTGCTGACAGCATGGAGCCTGCTTGGGATTCTTTCTCCCCCTCTCTCTGCCTCTCCCCCACTCTCTCTCTCTCTCAAAGTAAATACATAAACATAAAAAAAAAAAAAAAAAAAAAAGTCGCACACTCCACCGACTGAGCCAGCCAGGCACCCCTCACAAATTTTTTAGGTTACACACACACAGGTGCACGCACACGCACAGGCACGCCCATCCACACACATTTCCCCAGGATCACACGTGTCTAGCACATTTCACTCTCCGTCCGTCTGGAACTATTCCTTCTTTATCATTGGTGACCTTGAGACTTTTGAAGATTACAGACCAGTTGTTTTGTCTCAACTCGGCGTGTTTCCTTGAGATTAGATTCAGGTTACGGGTTTTTGGCAGGAGTATCCCAGCAGGGTGCTCCTCCCTTCCCCCTCCACCACCCTCTTTTTCTAAGGACTCAGCTTAGAGGCAGAGCCCAAAAAAAAAAAAAAAAAAATGTGCCTGGAGCCTAAGCATCCAGTCCGGGGGCTTTCTGCAAGCGAATGCGTGTATAACTGGCACCTGGAAGGTCCCTCGTGCCCCTCCCCGTCACCAGAGGCCCCCCCCCCCCATGTGATCTTTATTCTGGCATCTAACAGCTTACTTGTTCCTGCATTTGGGTACAAACAGACCCATACGGTGGGTGTGCTTTCGTGTCTGTCTTCTTCCGCTTAACCACGTGACAGTGAAGTTTGCCCACGTTCAGCGAGTGGCCAGGAAGGGGCTTCTGAGAGGCCGGCTCCACGGGCGCATCCCCTCCGTAAACGCTCGGCCAGC